CGGCCACGTCTGTGTGCAGGGGCAGGCGCGTCTTGTCGACAAGCAAGGACGTTGCAGATGAGTTTTTTTTTTGGGGGGGGGGCGCGGCAGGCACTAAACTGACACATCAGCGCCTGGCACATCATTTTCGCAGCTTTTTGCAACACAACCGCACCACCACGCCGCCTGCCTCGCGTGTTACTACTCATTACATCAGTACGTCGGCGGCGGCTACGGCGCCAAGGACGTGGCTTACCTGCTGATCTCCTCCGCTGACGAGGCGCTCCTCACAGAGTCCGAGGGACAGCTTCTCGCCCACTACCACTCCGCGCTGACGGGGCGCCTGGCGGCGCTCGGCAAGGGCGCGGCGGCGGCGGCGTACACGCACGACATCTTCTTGGTGCACTATGAGCTGGCCCTGGTTGACTTCTGCAGGTTTATGGCGGGGTGAGTTGAGCAAAATTTGAATGCGAGCACTGTTTGCGTGTTGATTTTTGGTCAAGGGCGTGGCATGCTTTCTGCAGGAGGGGGGAGAGGGGAGAGGTGCTCTCTGCCGTTTACTGATTGGCGGTTGGCAGGACGTCGGCTGTGACGTCGTGGCGAAAACGTTTGCAGAGCTGGCCGGTCGCTCACGTACACACGCAGCGGGCGGCGGGCAGCGGGCCGCGCCTGAGTGTGCTGCGTAGTTGGGTCACAAGGAGAGAGCTGGAGAGGGCTGTGGGGCCCCCTCTGATGTCGCGTTCAGGATCCACAACCCCCCCTTGCGTTCCATTGCTGCACCCTACGACATCTCCTGTCACTCCGCCACACCTCAACGGCGTCCCCCACGCACGCGCCCGCGGCCCCGCGCACGCCCTCGCAGGTGGGGTTGGTGGGGCGCGACGCGCTACTCCGCGCGGCGCTGCAAAGACGTGCTGTCGCGGCTGCCCCAGGTACTGAAGGCGGCTGCGGCGGTGGCGGCGGCGCGGTGACGCGCCGCAGGGCTGCCTGGCGCTGCTGCCTCCGCTGGAAGCCGGCCGCTTGCGCCTTGCCCCGATGTTGCTATTATTTGGCCAAATCCGAGGCTTGTCTTTGACGAGCTGTTTGGAGACAGCAGGCGGCTCTGGCCGTTCCTGTTTCAGTGAGGTTGAGGGTTCTGCTTGTGAGAGTCTGCTGCAGGCGCTCTGCTCCTCCGGCGTCGGCACGGCTGCTGTATCCTGTTGCTTCCGCCCCTTGTGTTCGTGATGCCATCGACAGGGGAAAAACCCATGTGTTTTGCCTGTCTGACTGGTCTTGAGATCCCAATCAAATTCACAAAGGTGCGAGACGCGCCGCCGGCAGGTGCTTTTCAATCGCATACCGTGGCAGCGGAGTCGCGCCGGCGCTCACCACCGGCCGCCATTGCCTCTGGGCCCAACACACACGTTTTACGCGGTCAAGTTACACGGCGCATTGTGCTTGGCGCCGACGCGGGTCAGCGCACCAACAGCTGCGCTGCGCTGTAAGACAGGGGTGGCAAGATGCCCCTGGTCATTGATCGAAAGGAAGGGACGTGTGAGCAAGGGCCGCACGGCAAACGTGTGCCAGGGGAGGGGGATTCTATGCCGCGGCGGCACATGCCAAGGACCCGCCAAGCGCTTCAAGGAAATGAAAGGAAAGGAATGAAACCTGCTGCCGCCGACCTGCCAGCCCCGCCCCTCCAGAGTCAGCGCTGTCTGCGCAGCCCTCGGGATCGCGCGGCGCCCGGCCAACAAAAAACGCCCCCCCCCCCCCCATTGGTTCCTCATTGGTCCCAGCCGCGTGTCTCAGCGGCAGATGGGGAGGTGCTCTCCATCAGCACATCATCAGGGTCGTTGCATTGGCGGACACACCTCCCTCTCACACGGCGTGGGTCAACGCAACGTTGACCAGCTGAGTCAGCTCCCACAGCAGCCGCCGCGGCAGCGGCGCCGCCGCCACGGCCGCGTCGGGCGAGGGCGCCGCGGGCGCCGGGGTGTCGGGGGAGGCCACGGCCGGGGTGGGTGTCGCGATAGGGCTGGGGCTAGGGCTGGGGCTTGGGCTGGCCACTGCCTTCTTTCCCTTTTTGACGCAGTGGGTGCCTGGGATTGCAGCAGGGGGAGGAGCGCGGAGCCAGGGCGTCAATAGGGAGCGCCTTGCACGAGGCAGGCTGTGGCGCTGGGGCGCCGTCGGCGGCCCTGGTGCCGATAGCTTGTGGCCAGGCGCCTAGTGCCCAAGCCCAACTACACGACAAACCCTACTCCTTACAGAAGCCCAGGGCCCGGCAGGTTCTGACACTGAGGAGGGAACCATTTCCGCTTTCATCGACTGCGGCGGTGGCCTCAACGCCCGCTGCTTGACACTGCTGAATCAAGACAACAGAAAATCACACACACACACACATGCACGCGCGCGCACACACACACAGCACCAACACTCCAACAGCGCCAGGCCGGCAGCAAAGCAATAGAGAACACCCCGACGAACGCGAAAAAAAGGGCGCCCCCGGCTCACCGCCAGCGCTGAAGCAGATGAGCAGCACTATGATGAAGAGCACCATCACCACCACCCCAGCCATCACGACCTTCATCTTGCAGTTGTTCCACCACATCTTGCGGCGCAGGGCGCGGCCGCTCTTCACGAACCGGTCCGCCTGGGGTGTGTGTGTGTGTGTGTGTTGTGTGTGTGTGCGTGTGTGTGTGTGTGTGTGTGTGTGCACGCACGTGTGTGTCAGAAACAAGGAGACAGACAGAACGAGGGGGAGAGCATCGTGCGAGTTTGTGACGAGCAAACAGTGGCCTACCCTCAGCATACAAAGCAACCAGCGGATTGCCTAAAACACCCGCCATGTGCCGCAGGTCGATCACAGATCAGATCAGATCAGATCAGATCAGGTTGCTGACCTCGAACATGAGGTTGTCCGTCTTGTCCACCAGCAGGTCCAGCTTCTCGCCCCTGGACAGCACCTTCTCAATGTTCTCGCTCATGATGTTCTTCACCTCATCCACCTGTTGACCCGGTCAACAGCGGTCAAACAAAACATCCGCACAGCAGGTTGGGTGGGTGCAAACGCCAAAATGCAGGTGGGGAGAGATCGGCAGGGGGCCGACCCTCGCCGGCCGACTGCCCGCCTCGCATCAGGGGCGCCTGTCCAGGCATGCCTCAAATCACACGCCCCCGTCTCAAACGCGTCGCATCTTGCAAACGACGGCCTGCAGCCCTGGCAGTCCCTGTGTTGCACCCCAAACCAGATACCTCGTAACCCAAGGTTGTATTCCGAGATTCAAATGCGGCCCCAGCCCCAGCCCCCGCCTGCCCACCTTCTTCTGGACGCTTGACACCTTGGAATACTCCTCGGGGAACTGGGTGGCGTGCTCCATCAGCTCCTTCAGCTTCTTGCTGCGGGTTACGCACGCGTAGTTACACACGCATGGTTAGTAATAAATCGCTTGTACATACACACACACACACACACACACACACACGCACAAACAAACACACGCACACGCGCGCGCGTGCACGCGCGCGCGCACGCGCACACATACACACCCACACACACAGTTGAGGAGGTTGCATGCGGTTGCGCCGCGACAAGGGCAGGCGCAAAGACGTGGGGAAGGAGTGCGAAGCGGCCGGTCCGCCCGGCGCCTGGCGGGCAGCTGTTGTGGTGGGCCGGCTGCTGCTGGTCCTCCGACGGCCAGAGGGATGCAGCCGGGCTAAGGCTGCTCCGAGCAAGGCCAGAGGGGGCCCCGCGCCCAGGCCGCAATCAATGACGCCAGCGCAAAGCGCACTCTATGACTAGCAGCTGCTAGTCCCAAGGTCACCCCAGCCGTGGCGCCGAGCCTGTCACGCACGCCGCCTTGCATGCGCAACCCGCGCACCTGTATGCGCTCAGGCCTCCCTTGACAGACTTGCCCTTCTCGCCATACCTTCGAAGGTCGCAGCAGGGCAGTCGATTGGCAGGTCAGCAGGCATGAGGGGATCTCCCGGATCTCGCAAATGGCGCCCATCTTGTTGCGCGCCGCCGGCCATCTTGCTTGGCCGGTCAGCTCCCGTGGTTGACCGCATTCGAAACAGCCATGCTTGCGGGCCACCGGTGTCAGCGCGTGCACACGCCAGCCGCGCCGCTGCGGCTGCGACCCCTCCCTAAAAAGCGTGGGAGCCTCCCCCCTGCGCTGCTGCGGCAAGCGCGCGGGGCCGCACCGCGCCACAAAGTCGTCCTTGACTTTGTCGAGGAACGCGTTGGGGATGGTGCGCCCCGCCGCCTCGTCGGTCACGATCACGTAGTCTGACGAGGCGAGTGAAATCGAGACAACCAGATGAAAACGGCAAGGTTTTGAGGCTGCCCAATGGCATGAGCGAAGGTGCTGTCGCCGCCTTGGCCGCCCCCGCGAGCGCGCACGCCCTTGCAGCGCCGCAGCTGCAGCCGAGTTGGGGGCGGCCGCCATGCGTGCCACCCGCAGCCGTCGCCCCGCAGGTGCGTGCGCTATGCGCACTCATGCGCTCACACACAAATCAGTGCCAGCCTCTCCACTAAAAAAGCCGTCTCAATGCTCAGAGCAGGAAAGGCCCCAAAGGCGGCTCACTGTATCCGTCCTCCGTGAGGAAGCTGAACACATGCCCATCCACAGTGTAGCTGAAGCGCCCGCTGTTGGCCGACGCCTTGGACAGGTAGTCCTTAGTCACCGCCGTGAAGTTCCCGCCGAACGCCGCGCACTCGGCGAGGACCGCCGAGCCGCGCGCGACGGCGCTGTACATAAGAGGCATTGTGCTGCGCGCGCCCTGCCGCTGCCGCCGCACGCGCTGCTGCCGAGGCTGCTTTGCGCGCGTGCGCCTGCACAGCGATCGCCCGTGACAGCGGTGTGAATCTTGAGGGGACGTGCGGGGTATGCTCAGGATCAACTATGTGCTGGTGCGCGCCTGGGATGCTGCTGCGGGGCGAGCTTGCGCAGAAACAGCAGTACAGGCGCGTCGCACAGAGCCGCTCGCCTTTGCAGCTGGGCACCACGTGCAATGCAGCCGTGCATACTAATGCTCACCTTCACCAAACACGAACGCGTGTTTCGTCCAACACTACGTCCGCTTGCTGTTTCTGCAACCGAGCGCACCGCACTGTCACAAACCAAAGTATCAAATGACCTTCTGCACCTGAGCCGTCGAAAAACGATACATTATTGATCTGCAACGCATGAGCGCTCAAACTCAATCGATGGATATCGACCGCCAGTTCTAGCGTTTGACCGGTCTTTCGAGGCCCCCACGGCGCGCAGCTCGGCGCTTTTTTATTTTACACGTAATGAATCTGTATCTTTTCTATAGAAGCCTCTTTCGCAGCGGCCTCTGGGCTGAACGTCGTCAGCATACAAAAAATAGTGCATAAACCAACGCATCACCCCCAATTGACTTCAAACATTTCCCATATTCTTTCATGGTCAATCATCGCCAGGAAGGGCTCACAGCGAGTGGATAACTCACTCGACAACGGGCCCGCGAGGGCCAGGGGCGCCTTGGGAGCATGGACGAGGCGCCCAATGGTAGCGTGCGGCATCTAGAAGCAGGGCCTGACTCGGAGGGCGCAGCAGAATCGAGGCCCAGCAAGAGGCCGAGGCTAGATGTGAGCAGCATGAGCAAGGGCAAGGACGACGTCGACATCCTGCTGTACGTTCGATGGCTAGGCCCCTCATCTGGCCAGGTACAGCGTGGTACTGGCCTTGGGCACGGGGTCCACCTTGCTGGCAAGTGCAACTCTGCGCCGCGCACCTGTCTGCTTGCGCGCGCCGCGTCGCGCTGCGCTGCAGCGTGTGCCGCACCAAGTTATGCATGCATGCACTGGCAGCCGGGCCTGGGTGGCCGTGCGAGCACGGCTTCCCCTCTCCCCGCCTCGCCGCGCAGACAAAGGTCATCATGCTGCCGCTGCGGCCCGTGGCCAGCGTAGATGACCTGCAGGTGCGCCCCTCCCCGCAGCAGCGGCGGCAGCGGCAGCGGTAGTACCATCAGCGACTGCATGAGCAGCAGGCGCAGCACCCGCAGCACCAGCAGCACCGGTAGCAGCCGCGCCCGCAGCACAGTTTGCACCGCTCCTTTCCCTTCCTGATCAGCACCCGCTCTCACGCTCTCGATCGCACCCAGCCTCCCTCCCTTGCTTTCGCGGTCTCCCTCTCAAACGCCGCACCCAATCGGCGCGCCCCGCGCACCAGCGGTTGCCGCTCAATCTCCGCCGCCGCCGCCGCTGCCGTCCCCGTTTGTGTCGCAGGACCTGGGCAAGGAGCTGGTGCACAAGGCGTACCCGCAGCCGCAGCCGCTGCCGGGGTGGCTGACGTCGCCAGACTACTGCAGGTTCACGCCCTCGCGAGAGTGCCTGGCGGTGCCCGGTGAGCTCCAGCCGGCGGCAGCCGCGGCGGCGATCGGAGCGGCCGGCTGCGCTGGTGTCGCGCCCGAGCTTTACGGCTCTTTGAGCGTCGCTGATCGATGGGGCGCAGCTGTGCGCCGCGCAGGCAGCTATGTGAGTGGGCCAGACATCACCACCCAAGCGATCCACGCCCTCCTCCCTTCCTCGCACGCGAGCGTCCCCACCCACAACTGCTGGGCGCGCGCCAAAAACCACGCGCAGGCGACATCATCCGCACCGAGCTGCGGCTGGTGCTGGTGCACGAGGGCTGGGAGTACTGTGTGCTCAAGCGCACGTTGTCGCCGGCGCCGCAGCCCCAGGGGGACATGCTCGTGGTGAGCGCCGCCCGCGGCCTGACATCCGCCCGGCGCCGGCAGCTGCAGCTTTCCGCTGTGGCGTGCGCAGCCCCCCCCCCCTGAACGTTGGCGCTGATGCGCACAAGCACCAGCGGCAAAGCTGACCGGCATTGGCCGCGACAAGTCGGTCGTTTGCGGGGCAGCAGCTGGCCGGCTGCGGTGCGTCCACGAAGCGCCATGATGTTGATGCGACCGCCCTTGGGACGCGCCCGCCCGCCCTTGGGACGCGCCCGCCCTCCCCGTCCCCCCCAGACGGCGGTGGAGTTTGAGGGGCGGCCGGAGGAGGCGATTCTGGGGACCCTGGGGTTCAGGGTCAGCCTCATCGCCTACCCGTGAGCGCGGGAGGGGGGCAGGGAGATGGGCGGGGGCAGGGGTAGGAGGAGGGGCAGTGGGAGGGGCAGTGGGAGGGGCAAGGAATTGCAGCGGACGGGCGCAAGGGGCTCTAGGATGTGGCTCACAGACTCGGCCAGCGCTCACAGATGCTCGCCGCTCGCGTTTGGAGCGCTCTGCTTGGGAGGCGTCGGCCCGCCCGCATTGACGCCCCCTCCCTGCCGCCACGCCTCGCCTTGCCGCCCGCTCGCGCGTTCGCCGCAGGATCATCGCGCTGCGCAAGGTGTGGCGGGGCGTCCGGGGCCGCGACCATTTTTGCAGTGTCACCGTTGCTGGGCGCCGCTGAAAATGCCCCCCGAAAGGGCTTGCGCCAGCGGGGTTGTGGCCTTGCCATCCAGCATGGTCAAAACATACTGCCGCCGCGGGCCGTCGAGATATCTCAACCTTGTGTTGTGACTCATACATGTACCCCGCAGGCGTTTCTGGAGGAGGTGACGGGGCGGCTGCTGGGGGACCCCGCGGCGTTCCAGGGCATCCTCTGATGCGGCCAACGCGGCCACACATTTCCCCCTGGCGCGCGTGTACGCACCCGTTGGCTACGCCGCCGCGCCAGGCTCTTGGCCGCGGCCTGCTGGGGCGAGCCGACGCGCCGGCCCCTTGCTGCCGGCTCGCGGCGCTGGCGCCCCTTTGCGTGCTGCCTCCGCGGCAGCCGGATGGCGTGGCGCGCGCCCACGCAGCCGTCGAGGCGTCCAGAAGCAAGCTGCAGCGTGAGGAGACGAGTCAGCCGGCCGCGGCCAGTCGGCCGACCCCTGGCTGTGGCGGGCAGGCGTACGGCCATGTCGTTCCCTTTTACACGCCTGCACACCTGCCATGTACATGATTGAGGGCCCTCCGCGTCACCGGATTGGCACCAGCTAAGTTCTTGTAGTCACTCTGCTCGTCGGGTTTTGTGCCTCCACCTTTGGCCTGAATGGGCATCTTTGATGCCGATCCGACAAACCCTACCGCTAGCCCGCCGGCCGGCGCCCGCGGCGCTGCTCTCCGCAAATGGCACGTGCACCCGCTGCACACCGGCTCCCTGCTGGGCTGCTGCGCCTGCCGCTCGTCGCCTCGCATTTCCGTTTGGATTCGGAGCGCCATTCTTGGCGTCTTTCCCGCCGCCGCCGCGGCTGCAATATGCCCCGGCGGCGCAAACTGAGCGCCCGCCCCGAGCGTCCCCTCTGCTGCGACGACGCATCTTCGTGCGTCTGTCTGATGCATGCTGTGATTGCATCAAGCACGCGCACACATGCGCTTACATGCCTGCGCTTTTTCAAACCACACCAGCCACTCACTTGACCCATGCTTCCCTGCGCGAGCGCGCATGCCCGCATTGCGACCTTTCATAAAGCAACGGCACGTTGTGTTTGTAACACGCTGGGATGACAGGCTGTCTAGAACGGGCGCCTGGAAACACTTTGTGAACCGACAGCCCTGGCGAGTGCTGGGTGTGCAATGCGCGCCAGTCAGGGGTCAACAAGGCTGCCAGCAGGCTGGGCCTGGTGGCAAGTTGCAGGACGGCGCCCCTCCAGCTTGGGCTTATCATGGCACCGTATTTGGTCATGACACATTTATGCACTTGGCGAATTCAAAGGGCAATCAAAAGCACTGACTATGACGAGATCACGATCTTGCGCTGACGGCACGCAATAAATCATTGTCACGTGACATTCAATAACTCTGCACCGTTGCGTTAAGACAAAGGTCAGCTCAAAACCACAGGAGCGGCGCCCGGCATGGACGACTTCGCGCGCTCGCTCGACTCGCTCGACAGCCCAGGCGCCGCACCGCGCCCCATCCCGGTTTGGCTTGATTGCGACCCCGGCCATGACGACGCCATGGCGATCATACTGGTGAGCGCACATCCATGTGCAGCATGCAGGACGTGCATGCGGCGACCGTGCACAGCGCGGCGACGGGGAGGGGATGCCAAACGCAGCTGTTTGGGAGTCTGCCCAGAGCTCCGTGCGACCTGACGCGCCTGCACAGACTCTATCTGTCAACCTCTTCCTCAGGCGGCGTACGACCCCCGGCTGCAGCTGCTGGGGATAAGCACTGTGGCGGGGAACCAATCAGTGGAGAAGGCAAGCAGGCGGCTGCACCCTGCACCTCCCCCATGACTGGCAGCACAAGCGTGGGGCCTTGCATGCCTGGTGCCATGCGCTGCACGCCGCCCCTCGGCTGTTCCATTGCTGCAGCCGCTGGCATCACATGATGGGCGGACTGCCACGCATGTCTGCTGCTCAGCAGCAAGACGGGGGCCGCCGCACGCCACCTGCACTCCAAAGGAGCTCGCACCCCCAAACCCACAGCCATGCGGGCCCACTCAACCTCGCATCACCCCTAGCTGACCTGCAGCTAGTTGGGAAAGCCCTGTCGCGGCATCAAGCCATAAGCAAAAAGGAACAACAACAAAAGCTGTTGCCGCTGGCGCAGGTCACGCGCAACGCGCTCGATGTTTTGTCAATCGCGGGCGTGGTCGGCGTGGACGTGGTGCAGGGCCAGGCGCGCCCGCTGCTGCGGCCGTCGCCACTGCTGTGCCCAGAGATACACGGGGAGAGCGGCCTCGACGGGTGGGTGGCAGCAGGGAAATGGGATCTCATTTGTGAGAAGCCAGCCGGGATATGGGATCTCATTTGTGAGAAGCCAGCAGGGATATGGGATCTCATTTTTGAGAAGCCAGCCGGGGGCGCGATGGCGTGCGTTGGCGGGCGAAAACGGAGCCAGGAGGGATGCGGCAAGGGACGGGGGCTGCTTCGTTTTCCGGCGGTCATGTGAGGCCCGGGCCTGGTAGATGCAACCTCCCAGGCAGCGGCGGGGGCGCACGACCAACGCTCAGAGGCCGCCGGACGCGCACGCCGCTCGCGTGCTCCTGATTCGTAGCCCGGAGGGCGGCCCGGTGCTGCCGCACGGCGGCGGGCAGGCGCTGCCTGGTAAGGCGCCGGTGGTCATGGCGGAGCGGATAGGCGCCTTCCTCGCGGAGAACCCACGGGCGGCACCTGTCAGGTGGGCGCGTTTGAATGTCCGCGCCCTCATCAGATCAGCGAGGCATTTCATGATGGCGATTACTCGTGGTCCCGACCAGGCGATGGGCGCTACTCATCGCTTGACTTGTCCCTGTGGCAGCCAGCTTCTGGCCAGCTCCGCCATGGGCGCGTGCAGCCCGCCAACTCACATCGCATGCAGCCGTGCGGCCCCCTTGACGTTGCTTGCCACGATTCTGCATCCCAGGCAATGTGACGGCTCTCATGGGGTCACCATCAATTAGCTATAAAGCAAATCGACACTCGTACCGCCCAGCGCAGGCTCATCTGCACCGGGGCGCTGACCAACGCGGCGCTGCTGCTGATGCTGTACCCCGAGCTTCACAGCAGCCTGGAGATCGTGATCATGGTGAGTCACATGTGACTAATCTGAGTCATGGGTGACCATGGTGGGTCACACGGGACGAGCTTCAAGTCACGCAGGCGAGTTGATCCACATTAGAACGTCACGACTGCGCACAACAGCGCCGATGGGCGAAACTGTCCCTCCAGTATTTCAAACGGCAAGGTGCCGCGTTCCAGAACCTGGCACCTCTTGTAAGGCACCCTTAGCTTGTCGGGCAGCCAGGGGAAGGGGTTGCGGGTCAGCGGGAGTGGCCGCAAGGCTCTTGGGTGGAGGAGCGCGCTTGTGAGACGACCAGGGCAGAAGTGGGGATGCTTTGCGGGGTGCCCGAGGAGGGGGTTTGTGCGGGGGAAGGCGATACGCTCTGTTTTCCAGCCTGCACCCGCCGTCCACGAGGTCGCGGGCGCCTTTGACAGACGCACACGCACCTCGCACTCCCCCTGCCGCGGCGCATGCGGCGCGCCCGCAGGGGGGCGCGCTCGGCGTAGGCAACACGGGGCCTGTCATGGGTGAGGCAGCCCAGCCGGTGCGGCCGCGCGCGGCGGCGTTTGGCTGCGCCCGCCTTGGCCACCGCAGCCCCGCTGCACCCATAAGCTTTGCATGCTCATGCTGCAAGGCGGACCGCACCACCCAGAACTGCCAACAACGAACCGCCAACAACCACCCACAACCGCCAATGACCGCCAGCCGCGCAACCGCCGCAACCGCCCCGCAGAGTTCAACATTCAAACTGACCCCGAGGCGGCGAAAGTGGTGTTCGAGGCCGGGCTGCCGCTGACAATGGTGCCCATAGAGGTCACACACACGGTGGGCGACGCCGGCGGCCCGGCCTGCGGTCCGCGCGCCGCAGCGTGCGGCTGCTGTGAGTCCCTTGCAGCTTGTGCTGGGCGCCGCGCCTGCCCAAGCTGCATGCTTGCTCTGAGGATGAGGCGGCATTGACTGAGTCTTTGGTTGTTGCGCCCCGCCAGCTGCCCGGACCCAACCCTGTCTCGCTGCATTCGCCCGCGCCCCGCCCACCCCGCAACCCCAGGCGCTTGTCACGCCCGAGGTCCTCGGTCGCCTGCTGACCAGCCGCCCCGGCATTTCAAAATTCAAAGTGTTGATTGAGCAGCTGCTGACATTCTTCGCGGGCACCTACCGGGAAGTTTTCAAGTTCACAGACCCGCCGCTGCATGATCCCTGTGCTGTCGCATATGTTGCAGACCCGTCTATTTTCGAGGTAAGAGTCCGTATGATGGTCATGCACTGTGTGTCAATGTGTGTGTGTGTGTGCGTTTGTGTGTGTGTGTGTGTGTGTGTGTGTGTGTGTGTGTGTGTGTGCGCGCAGGGGCACGTGCATGCGCGCTCTCGCGCGCGCAGTCATGCTCATGTTCCTGAACGTGCGCACGTACGCGCGTGTGGTGCAAACACACACGTGTGCGTGTTTTATACATCTGCTGACGAAACTTTGCTGCGCATGCACGCATCGCTCCTTTATGACTCGCAACTTCAGCAGGCCCGCCCTCGCCTTGCCGCAGGTGGAGGAGATGCGCGTCGACATCGAAACAGCGTCGCCGCTGTCGGCCGGCCAGACGGTGGTGAGTGGGGCTGAGAGTCCGAGCATATGCGGCTGCCCCGGTGTATTTTGCACGCCCGGACGGCTCGTCTGCACCCGGGCCGCGCGCCCTTGCGCCTTGGACCCATGATAAGGTACCGCCTGTCGGCAGGCTATTGCTGCCACCCAGCCTCACTGCTCCAGCGCGCTTTGACCAAAATATCAGCAGTGCTGTCGTCACGATTTGCATGGCATGCTCATGCTCTTTGCATCTACTAGCATGATGGCACTCTTGAAGTGCCATTTTGCATTTATACCCATATTACACAAGCGACCCCTCACGCACCACGTACCATACAGACGCATGCGCCCCCGCCCCGCTCCGTCCCCCGCCGCAGTGCGACGTGTGGCACCAGACCGGGCGCCCCAAAAACTGCCGCGTGGCGAGGTCCATGGACGTCAACGCGTTCTGGGGGATCATGATCGACGCATTAGATTTTGCAGACATCGCAACGCCACTGCGGTGACCCGCGCAGGGGCCCGCTGCTTGACCTGGATGGCTCCCGCCCTGCTGCGGGCCCGCGTCGATTGAGCGTAGGGCCCAAACTGTCTCAGTTTGCCGCTGCAAGACACATATGTTCGCAGCTGTTCACACCAGCTGTAGGACGTGGCTCCTGGCAGGTGTTACACTTCATCCAACTGCAAATGCATGAGAGTTAAGCTAGACGCCCAAAAGCAGACGAGTGCCATCCGCACGCACGAGGCCGCAGCCAAACGCACAGCTCCGCGCACGCATCGCGCGGACGGGCTGGCGTGAGTCAGTCAGCCGGGCCAGCGCTCGCCGCGCAACGGGCCTGGTGCGTGCGGGGCCGCCGCGTCGCCGCCGGATCTCCAAATCAGATCATTTCGGCGAGGATGTGGGGATGCCCTGAAGATCAACAACCTCTGCAGTCACGAAATGGGCGTTCGAGGTTGAGGGCGGTGGCGAAGAATGTGATGTTGGTCAGCGGGTGTCCTGCTAGCAAGAGTGTTGCCAGGTTCTCTTAGGAGCCAAGCCAGGAGAACAGACAGCTGAGTGTGAACAAGTGCACAACCGGGCTTTGTGCTGTTGAACTGAACAAAAACTGTGTTCTGCTCCTGCGACCGTCCGTGCAGCTTCCCACAGCCATGGCAGGCGGGTGTGCAACGGCCGTGGCGCACCTGGCACAGTCTGCTTGCCGTCCACCACCTTGCTGGCCCGGAAGTAGATCGACCCCCTGGGAACCTGCTTGCTCTTGAAGGGCTCCTTCATGACGCCGCGCATCATGTCGGCGCAGATGTTTGCATACTTGAGGTATGACATGCCCGCTGCCCGCCAGAACGGGCCCGACGCCGGCGCGCTCATGCTGCTGCTGATGGCGGTGCGCGTCTGTCGCCGCCGCTGCTGCCCCTGAGCATGTATGGTGAAGAGGCAGGGAGCGCGTCAATGGGGGTAAAGGCCAGGGAGGTGCAGGCGGTCAGGCATGGAGAGCAGCGCAGGGTGCGCATGCGCCAGATGCACTGCGGTTTGTGTCTGCGCTGCCCCCAGTCGCGCTGGCCCTCCACGCATGACGGCTAAGATTAAGCCTGTCACATTTCCAACGCCTTGAAATGGTGCTGCAGCGCTCAGGTGCCGCCCAAAGAGTTTTGGCACAGATCGCCCCACGGCAGCCCATCGTCACACCGTTGTCTGCCAGCGCACACACACCTTGTGTTGCTAGAAAATGCCGAAGGCTCAGCTGCAGACCTCTCAGGTGCTGCTGCAGATCCCCTCTGAGGTGCTCACTAGGTCTCTCTTGTCCGCTGGTGTTCAGGCTTGCTAAGGGTTGAATGTGATACCAAAGAAACCTTAGCGGCGAGTCTTTCGGGTAGCACCGTCGTCCCGGCGAGGAACGCACGGGACTGCCTGTGACTGCAAATTTTCTGATGCACCCGCGTCTCTAGCAGGCCCAAAATGCACGAGAGTAATTTGCTACAGCTATGGATGGTAACAGGAACCACTCTGCTCAAAGCGACATCGATGGCATGGCCGGCCCACGTCAACACTATTGATTGAGTGGCCGTCTGCGGGCGGACCGCGGCTCCCAGGCGCACATCAATCAACTAGATGACTTTGATGTACTGCTCAATGCGAATGCAGACCATGGCTTGTGCACCGCCGCTGTTGCAGTGACAGGGCCCCTGGAGGCGCGGTGAGAATAAGAAAGCGCACCGGGTAGGCGTAGCGGCTGCCAGGTAAGCACCATCCCCGCTGCAACACAGGCATTGCCAGTGCATGCTGCCTGTCGTCCTGCAGCAGCACGCGGTTGGTGCCGAGCAAGCGTGGTGTGAGCATCGGCCGGTTTCACACTGCGCCGCCTCAGCCGCAGCAGACCTTGGAGCCCGCCTCCCTAACGCTCGACAGGGGGCGGCCGCGGTGACAAGTAAACAAGCCTCTGAATACCTGAATATCGTGTGTCTTTTCACAAAGTCCCAGGCAGGGGCAGCCAGCTGCGCCCGCGGCCGGCGGCGGCGCGAGCGCGAGGGGCTCAAGGGGCGAAGCCGACCGCGGCCGGCCATGCCGCTGGTTTGCGCGCTCGTCGCGCGGCGCGCCGACGCGGCCGTGCTGGCGCAGCATGCTACCGCGTCTGGCGATGTGCAGCGGGCGGCACTGAAGGGCCTCACGACAATTGAACCTGACAGCGGCCGGCGAGCCACATTCACTGCGGACGGCCACACGTGCGTCGCCGAGCCCACGCCCCATACATCGCCCGCATCAGCGCGCCTTGGCGGGCGCCTCAACAGAAGCATCCATTCGTGTTTTGAACACCCTGCAAGCGCACCACTGGCTGTTTGCGCCACGCGCCTGACTAGCCGCCCCCACCCGCATGGTACCCCCGCCCGACCCTGTGTGCTTCGATTACCCAGCACGCGCCCAACCTCGGACTACTAAAATCCGCAGGTTCCACTACCTGCTCCACGGCGGCCTTGCGTTTGTGGCTGTTGCTGACCAGGCGTTTGGGCGCGATGTGCCCTTCGAATTCCTCAAGCGTCTCGCCGCCGCCTGGGACCCTCAGCAGCTGCCCTGTGGCGCACGCGCGCCAGAGGAGGGGACAGCCGCTGCTGACGCCGACGCCGGGCGGCTCTTTGGGTGCGGGCCCCGCAGGCACGGGCACGGGGCTAGCGAACCCCTAACTTTCGCCTGCGGGCGCGCATCTCCTGCTGCCTTGCGGCGCCCGCCAGGCGGGCTTTGGTCCCTCATCCTTGGACGTGTCAACGGCCGCGACCCGCGACCGCGCCGCGCTTGTTTTCTTGAACCGCCGCAGACCGGCGTTGAAGCGGGAGTTTGAGCACTGCAACGCGCACCCGGAGGAGCTGTCACGCCTGGCGGCGCTGCATTCAAAGGTGGAGGAGGTCAAGAGCGTCATGGTGCAAAACGTGAGGCCCCAGGGGCTGGCCGCTGCGGACGATCTGGCCGGCTGCTGCTGTTGCGGGAGGCCGGCCGTGATGGCATGCCATTGGTGCGCAGATGCTGCGACGAGCACTTCAGGGGTGCTGGTCTTGTCCGTTTCAGGCAGCGGCCCCACCGCCCGCCACACGCGTGGCGATGCGCTCCTCACACCACCAAAAACCGACGCCCCTTGTTTCCTGTTCCCTGCCCTCATCGCAGGTCGACCAGGTGAGCAGCAGGCACCCCCCTCTCTAAAGTGCCAGCCCATCAGCCAAAACAAGATATCTGTGGCCCACTTTGTGTGCTGCGGGGTCTCCGCCAGCTTGCCCCCCCCCCCACACACTTCTGAGGCGGCAGCTGCAACTGCCTCTTGGGCGCCCGGAGCCGCCGTCTCAAGTTGGCTGCCCAGCTGCCCTCAGCCCCTGGTCGGCGCCCCACCGCCCCTCACGGGAGCCCGTCCCCCGGGACTGCTGCGCCCATCCCCCAGGCGCTGCAGCGGGGGGAGGCGCTGGCGGGTGTGGAGCTGCAGGCGGGTGCCCTGGACAACCAGGCGGAGCTCTTCAAGAAGAGGGGCGCAGAGCTACGCGGCCAGATGAGGTGCGGCGCCACGGCAGCTTGAGGATTCGCCTGCATTGCATGTGACGCCGCCTGCAATGCATGTGGCGCCGCCTGCAATGCATGTGGCGCCGCCTGTTTTACATGCGACGCCGCCTGCATCGCATCGCCCGCGGGGGCGCAGCGTCCGAGCGCGGCTTTGTCACCCCTGGACCCCTGCCGTACAACCGTCGCGGGGAGCCCCGTTTGGAGGGTGGTGGCTGGGGTGAGGCACGCCTGTGATTGCTGCGCCGCTACACCCCCATCCTTGCCCCGTCTGTGGGCCACCGCTCTCACGGACACAGCTATTGCTCTTCTGAACGCCCCATGTTTAACCGCAGGGCGCACAGCTGCAAGCTCAAGGCGTGCCTCGTCTTCGTGGTGCTGGTGTGCTTTTCGGTGATCGCCGGCATCGCCGTGTGCTTCTCCGCCAACTGGCGCTGTCTTGGAGGGAATGATGTGTACCGAGCGGCCGCCGGGGCCGCGCCGCCGCAACCGCCGCCGCAGTTTGCGGACCCCCCGCGGGTCGAGGCGCCGGGCCCGGAGGCGTCGGCGCTTCTGGGGCCGCCGCCGGCCGGCGGGGCGGCAGCGGGGCCGGGGCGGCCGTGAGCGCCGCAAGCGGCAGGCGAGGCCGAGCTCAGCGCCCGCAGCTTCACGTGTGGGCGCCGTTCGGGAGCGCAGGGGTTTCCTGGGGTGAATCCTGTTGTGTCACAACCGCCTCGCCACCTTTGGCTTTTGATCGGGGGTCCCTTGGGTGGTTTCTGTGGGGGTGGACGGCATATTTTACTGCTCTGTGCCATGCATCGACTGCGGCGCTGCCGCGGTCAGCCTGTTAGAGTCGAACAATTAATCTCATCAATGGAATCAACACCGCAATTGATTATGCGCCTCGAGCATGGCCTTCCGTGTCCGTGCCTGCCCCGCCGTGCGGTTGTGTTATACCCCAGGGCCCAGCGCAGCGCTCAGATGCGCTGGGCAGCAGCAACGCCATGGGGCAACAAGCGGCGGGATGGTGCTCGCAGCAGGATGGTCGCACTTTTCAAGGGGCCCCTGTTTCTCACCGCAACGAGCTCGCTCCTGCATGGTTCCCAGGCCCAGGGTGTGCAGCGAGGGCGGCACTTCTGCTGACACTCCAAACATGCATATGAGCGGCGCCTCCCGACCGCTGTGCTTCCATGGCAAGCATTGACAACGATCCTGTAAATTTGTGTTGGCTTTGAGACGGCATGACTGCAGCTGTAAAGAGGGATCAGGACTCACACCACACTGATGGCTGGCAGTCCGACATGGACTGCGGTTGAATTGCCCACCGTTTCGCCGCCACAGCTCTGTATTCAATCCTGGCACTGAACGCAGATCCTGATGCTTGGACGTTGACGCTCCTTTCCTTACACCCTCGCATGCGCATCACGGCGTCAGCGCATGCAACTGAGCGCGATCAAGCTCTGGGTGGTCGTGCGGACTGCCTGCGAGGCGGCAAACGGTATGCGGCCAGCACGGCCTATTGAATATCTGGATAGAATAGCTCTGGAGAGACCTTGTAACGATGTGCTGCAGCTGAAAAGGCTTCTTCAACGCTTTCGCAGTGTGTCACCAGCCAATTGTCACTCCTGACGCCCAAAAGACCGGCAATCCCATGCACCTTCCAAATTTGCAAGGATTGATGTCCTTCCTGTGAGCATCAGGCGTTGCAACGTTTCATCAGGCGTGATTTCAATCCGCCCGGGCAACGCAGTGCAGCTCTCCGGCACGTCCCTGATTGTCAACGGTGCGCTGGGGCATGTCGCATCAATGCGTCCAGCTTCGTGAGAAAAGCAGGCGCTGGTAGGGGCGCCTGGCACCCGCACGCACATGCGCGCTCCGCATTCGCGGGAGCGCTGCAACGCGTGCCCCATGACTGCAGCCCGCCATCAGCCAGCGGTCACTCACCGGGTCGTCGGCGGCAGACACACGCATCACCACCTCAAGCCCAGCAGTACATGCAGCTGCTCACCCGAGGGCCCCCGATGCACCTGTCGCTGCGCAGGGCCCGAGCCCAGCACACTTTCGCAGGCCCGCGCCCAAACCAGAGGCACCCGCAGAGAAGGGGCGCTTCGCTCCATTGAACAGCAGCAGCGGCGGGCGGGAAGCGGCCATGCCGCTCGTGTACGCGCTCGTGGCGCGCGCAGCGGACGCGGTCGTGCTGGCGCAGCACGCCGTCGTCAACGGAAACTTCCAGGCAGTTGCCCTCGAGTGCCTGGACCGCGCGCGCAGCGGCGGGGAGGAGCGCTTCAGCATAACGTGCGCGGGGCAGGCCAGGCGTCGGCGCCGGCCGAACGCCTGACGCGCACATGCTTGCGCATCCGCGGGACCCCCCAGCTCCGCGCATGGTTCGGCTTGCCCCTCCGTCCCGGCCGCCGTCGCGGCGGCTGCCGCCGCCCGCGCGCATGCCCACCGCGCCATGCAATCGCGCCTGACAGCCGCCCGGCCCTCCCCTCATCCTCCTCGTGCACAGCTGCGACGGCTACACCTTCAATTACCTCATCAACAGCGGCTACGTGTTTGTGGTCGCCGCGGATGACGCGTATGGGCGCCAGATCCCCTTTGCGTGCTGCAAGCGGATCGCGGACGCGTGGACCGAGCGCTTCTGGGAGAAGGGGCGCACCGCAGCTCCCAACAGCATGGAGCGCACCTTTGGGTAAGCCGCGCCGTCCGCCGCGCGGCCCCTGAAGTGACCAAGGCGCACGCGCGGCAACGGGCGTGCGCGGGCGGCAGCCGCCAGGGCACCCGTGCTGGCAGGGCCTCGAGGCGAATCCGACGCCCCTGCACATGCACGGCCACGCGACGCGCGCGGCACTCAATCTCACACAGATTGCATGCACATTCGTACCCCTCACGCACTCCCTGCCGCGTTCTTGCAGCCCCGTGCTGCGCCGCGAGATGGAGTACTGCCAGTCCCACCCCGAGGAGATGAGCCGGATGGCGGCGGTGCAGCAGAAGGTTGACGAGGTCAAGGGGATCATGGTCCAGAATGTGAGTCATCCTGGAGCTTCAGGGTCATCTTTCATCATGCAGAGGCCGGGTTTGAAGGGGTACTGCATGACTCGGGAGTCAGCCTCGGTTGCGGCGAGGCCGAGGTGTTTGGCGCGCGTCTGTCGGCAATGGGCTGGAGGTAGAGGGTTGGGGCGCATGCCGAAGGCGTGGCTAAGTCTGTTGGGGTGGACGGCGCCTCTTCGCTCGCTGCAGCGAGGGCGGAGGCGCTGATTGGGAGGGCAAAGTTAGGCAGCTTGGTGCAGACTTGAGCAGCAAGTGTTGGGGGTTCAGGTTGTGCCCTCAGCCCTGGCACTGATGTTGCCTGGTGTGGGGGTTGTTCCGAGGGCCCGGGGTGCAGGAGTCAAACACACCATGACATGCAACATAGAGACAAGGCAGGGAGGCGGTGGCGAACCCAGCTACATAGCGGCTAGTTTGTCCTCGCTGCATTTCTGAGTCTCCAGCCGCGCGGCCCTTCACCGCCGCTTTTGCCCACGCGATAAGCTGCCCCGGCTGCGGCTGCGACCGCGAGCATGCTGGTCGCCCCCTTGCGCTTGCGCAACCTGCGCGCTGACCGTGACGCCCTGCCTATACAACCCTCCATGCAGGTGGAGTCTGTGCTGCAGAGGGGGGAGAACCTGGATGTGCTCGTGAACAGGACGGATGATCTTAGGGACCAGGCTCACAAGTTCCAGATCCAGGGCACGCAGCTGCGCAAGCGCATGTGGTGAGGCAGGGGGTCGTGTATGGCGCATGGCGCCCCCCTGGGGCGCATGGGGGCTGCGCATGGCCGGGCATGGAGGCGCATGGGGCCCGCGCATGGCGCCGCATGGAGCACCATGGGCCCAACGCATGGCTGCACACGAGGCCGCATGGGGGCCTGCATGGCGCCGCATGGGGGCCTGCATGGCGCCGCATGGGGCGGCACGTACGCGCCGGGATGGCGGACCGGCCGGCGTGTCCGCTCATAGGCAGCGGCAGTGCGCTCGACCCTGTGCGTCACAGCGCAGCACATCCCGGGTGGCGTGTGTTGGTTCTGGCCTGTCAGCGATCTCTCACCGCCTGCGTCGCAATTCGCCGCCGCCCTCACAGCTGGCAGAACGTCCGGATGAAGCTGTGTGTGCTGGGGTCAGTGGCCATCCTCGTCCTCGTCATCTTCCTGGCGGCCTGCTTCGGCGGCAGCCAGCGCTGCTTCGGCAACAAGGACGGCGGCGCCGGCAACAACCAGGTCGCCGCCGCGTCACCGCCAGCCCTGCCGGATGCTAGCACAGGCGCCAGCGGGGCGCCCGGGGCGGGCGCGGCCGGGGCTGCGCCGGCGGACACATCAGGGACGGGGGCCGCAGCAGCGCCCGCGCCTGCGCCCGCGCCCGATTCGACCGCAGCGACGAGTCAGCCAACTACAGACGGCACCACGGCCCCCACCGACACCTCGGCGCCGTCGACAGACGCGGCCCCGGCCCCATCTGATGCGACCTCAGCGCCGGCACCCGCGCCTGCCACCTCTGCAACAGACTTCGGTACAGCGACGCCCGACGCAGCCGCCGCTCCCCCGGATGCTACCACGGCCCCCACAGACGCGGGCACGGCACCCACAGGCACAGCTGCAAACCCCTCGGACACTGGCGCAGCGCCCACCGATACAGGGGCCGCCCCCACTGCTGCGGGCGCGGCGCCCACTGACGCCACGACCGCCAGCCCCACTGACAACACCACCGCCAGCCCCACTGACACCACCACCGCCCCAACCGACGCCAACACGCAAACCACGGGTGCGGGCGCAGCTGCGCCTGCAGGGTAGCCCGCGCGCCGACAACCCCTCGCATCTTCTGCGCGCCGCAGCGTCGATCCACGGTGCGCCGCAGCGCTCTGCTGCGCCCAGGCCGGCTTGGCTTCCGACGACCCGGCAAGCGCCCGGACGTTGCACGTGGGCACCTTGGGCAGGGCAGCTGTCTTTCTCGCTGTCAGCGCGTCTTGGGTGCCAGGGCCTGGCTTGGGCGAGGGGAGGCCATCCGCCACGGCCGCAGGCCGGGCGCAATGCAGCGAGCGACCCCTGCAGAGACCTGCGGGCCCTTGGCCTGCGGCCGGCCGCGGCATACACAGGGGCCTTCGGAGGTTAGATTCCAGCACATATGAATAAGCGAGATTGCTTGACTATCATGGCCCGCGTCGCTTGGTGCCTAGGTTCTCGCCACCCCGGGGGGCGCAAGCATCACTTTGACTGCCATTTTGTCGGTTGGCCGCTCGTCAGTCGCAGAACACGAGGGGCGTCGCACTTTGCATTTCACATGGCCTTGCAGAATGGAGTGTTTGTCACCTTTGTACAGCATGCCAACTTTGGGGCGGTGCGAGTAAATGTATGCCACGCGCCCGAAGTGCAGCCACCTGCGATGAAGGAAACTGTCTCTAGAGGGCGGCAGGGGGTTCGGCGGAGAACCTCGGCACGGGGTGCTCCTCCCCAGGTTCTCTGGTTTGGTTTCTGTGGCGGGTTTCAGCATGAGCCGCTAGTTCCAGGGCGACCCGTCAAGGCCTGATCGTATCAATCGCGCCAGCGGCTTCCACCAGCGCGGCGCCACGTGAGCGGCAGCAGCAGCAGCAGCAGCAGCAGCAGCAGCAGCAGCAGCAGCAGCAGCAGCAGCAGCAGCAGCAGCAGCAGCAGGTCGCCCATGCAGGCGCAGGGTCTGTTTCTATAGAACGCGCACCCTGAGCCTTGTCACACGTCAGACATTCTGGGTCTCAATGCAACGCATTTGTACGCGGCGCGCTGTGTTGGGGCGGATAACTGCACGTAGCGCTGGTCAACATTCAAAGATGCGCCAGCCAGGATGATGCGCAGGCTCGGACCGCCCAAACTGGGGGCACAGTGGGGCCACCTTGATGAGCTTGTGCCCTGCATCTCATATGGGATTCATACTAGAACCTCCTCATCGGCAATGCGCCGGCCCTGAGGAAGGGCGTGTATGCCTCCAGCTCGAGCTGCCAGCCGCCAACCTGGCGTAGTCGTCGATCACTTGGCGCAGCTTCCGGCACGGCCTTCTCGCAAGGGCATCGCTCCAACCACAGTAAGCGAGCCCCTGCTGGCATAGCTTAGATTTGACACAGTGATTGTGCGTACTGCATACACGTGCCCAGTGTTGTTCAGCACCTTCTGCGTGGTGGGACGAATCAACCAACCAGATCTAGAACCTTTCAAGCGTCCTGACGCGTTGAGATAAGTCTGAACATCATGCCCATAATTTATGCCTCAGTCGCGCGTGGGGATGGAACGCTGCTGGCGGAGTGGTCCGATGTAAAGGGAAATACCGCACAAGTGGCGGCAGACTGCATGCAGGTAAGCAAATTTGACCGCAATGGACCGCAGGTCTGCCGCCGGCAGCACCCTGGTGTCGCAGTGCAGTGGGCGGGTGGGCGCAGCACATGCCAGGGACGCCGCCTCGTCATGGCTCGCAACGCTGGATGCAACGAACTCCCATGTTGCCGCCGTCCACATCGCAGCATGTGATCGCGGCCCCTGACCCGCGCATGACCATCACATGCGACAAGTGCGCAGGCTAGGCGCCTGCGGCCCTGCTAGCTGTCGTTCTGATGGGGCGTGATTTGAATCGGCTGCGGTTCGCTGTGGGGACTTGAAGCCGACAAGCGATTATGCAGGCCAGCCCGGCCACAATTTCAATTCAAGCCGAATGGCAGAGCGATTCTGGGGCCAGCAGGCAGGCGGACACTGCTCGGGCCCTCGCTGCGACAGAGTTCCAAGCAAAATCCTTTGCTACTCAGCAGCGACCCTGAAAGTGAAAGCACGGCCATCATCATGCCACACAACCAGGCACACCTTCAACTTCCTGAAGGCGAATGACTGGATCTACCTGGCGGTCGCCAACGAGGACTTCGGGCGGCAGGTGACAGGCGGTGACATCAGCTCCCCCAGCACCAGCGGCTGTGACTGCAGCGGGTCGGCAGCGAAATGCTAGCCATCCAGACCTCCAGCCAATTAGCCAACGCCCATGTCGAAGCCCCACCACAAAGCGCAGCAGCCTGTCCGACTTGGTCCTTTTGTCGGGTCTCCGCGCCTCGAACTATTCCTCAGCAGAAGGTGTTTGACTCTGCAGCCGGTTCGATTGTTTTTTTGTCCTCTTTGTGAACCCCCTCTCTCTGACTTGTCCGCGTCTGGGACGCCGCCTCGCCCGCCCTCGTGGCCCCAGGTCCCTTTTGCCCTGATCCAGCGGGTGGCGCAGGAATGGGAGGGCGGCTTCTCGGCCAAGGCCCAGCGCGGGGCGGCGCACAGCTTTGACCGGTCTTTTGGGCCGAAGATACGCGATGCCATGGTGGGGCTGTGCTGCGGCTGAGGCCGTGCTGTGTTTGCTTGCCATGAGCTTGTGTGTGTGGGGGGGGAGCGAATTTATGCACGGGCCATGCGCGTGAGAACCAACATGTGCGTGCGGGCGCCAATGTGTGTGCGCACACACGCATGCACGCTGCATCAAAGGCTGCTTACGATCATTTCTGGTTGCTCTGGCGGAGGTTTGTTCGTGCGCGTGCGCGCGGCTGCGCTTGGGTGATGCAGGAAGGCACACGCCGGGCGCCTCTTGCCGGCTGCTGCGCCGCTCCTGCCCTCAACTCCTGCTACCAGGCATCAGCGCTATCAACTCTTGCGACCCCCTACGCGCTCCCGGCGCTGGCCCTGTCCCCTGCCCACAGGACCAGCTCAATGCGAACCCTGAGTCAGTGAGCAAGGTGGCGGCCGTGCAGAAGCAGGTGGACGACGTGAAGGTGCGGGGAAGCTGGGCCATGGGGAGGGGGGCAGGCGCGGCGCTTCGTTTCGACGCGCCTGCGGGATCGCGCGCTGACTCAGCATGCGCCTATGTGTGAAGCATGGCGCTTTGGAGGAGCGGCGGGGCGTCGCGGGGAGCCGCGCCGAGCGGCTGAGCCGCGGGATGTAGTCCCC